GACTGCCTTCGATCGACAAAAAAGACGCGGCACCGATAGTCTGCAATGCAACGTCATGTTGGAGGGCGTGCCATCATTGGCGCGCAAGACACGGTGCATTCTCCCTCACGTTATGGTCGATTGACAGATGAAGAAGGTGCCCATATCAGTCTATACGAGACAACTAGAGTGGCATTCGAATCTCGAGGTGCAGCCGCTCGAGTCAGATGCGTACGTCGAATACGGCTGTGGGAAGGCCGACAGTGTCTCAGGAGAAGTCGTAGTGAGAGCGTGAAGATGACCAAATGCATGCCCCATTACATGGCGGCTGCTCTGGTTATATCAAGACAACAGTGGGAAGACCATGTCAGACGAACATACCTATAGACAACCACACAGCGCAAGGAGCATCTTCATGTACTCAACTATTACCTGGCTGACCGATTAGGAACCTACGTAGCCGGACAAGTTACGGACGACCTCGCCGGGATGAAGTACTACCGCCTCCTCATCTCCGCCTGTGTGGCCCTGCCCGTTTTCTCGCTCTCCTTGCATGGCCGGCAGACGGAGACTTTCGTCTCCGACGGCAACCCCATCCTCTCCGATGGCTCCATCTACTCAGCCGACCCAGCACCCTTTGTCGTGAACGATACGGTCTATATCCTGAGCGGTCGCGACGAAGCGCCGCCGACAACCAATGCATTCATTATGAACGAATGGCAGCTCTTCTCGGCCGAGAGCCCTGACCCCGCTGGTGGCGAGTGGACTCTGCAACGCGCCGTCGCCCGTCCCGAGGTCCTGTTCGCTTGGGCCGATTCGGGCGGCGCCTACGCGAGCCAGATTATACAAGGTGCCGACGGCCGCTTCTACTTCTTCGCATCCGTCACTCAGCGCGATCCCGGCACGCAGGACGCCTTTGGCATCGGCGTCGCCGTGTCCGATTCTCCGACGGGCCCCTTTACTGATGCGCACCCCAACGGTCCCATCATCTCCCAGGCCGTGCCCGTCCGCAACGACATACACAATATCGACCCAGTCGTTCTGGTGGACGACGACAATCGCGTCTTTGTCTACTGGGGCTCTTTCAACCAGCTGCGCGGCGTCGAGCTCGGGTCCGACATGACCACCATCATCGGCAGCATCACGGCCGTCACCTCCCTCACGGGCTTCTTCGAGGCCCCCTGGTTCATGAAGCGCAAGGAGACCTACTACATGCTCTACGCCGCCAACAACGCGGGCTCAGACTCCCCCTGCACGCCCACCTCGTACCACGCCTGCATCGCCTACGGTACTGCCTCGTCGCCGCTCGGCCCCTGGACCTTTCGCGGCGTCGTCCTCCCTATCGTCTCCAGCACCACGAGCCACCCAGGCGTCTACGTCCTCGCGGACGGCGCGCACTTTCTCGTCTACCACACTGCCGACGCCGAGGGCGGCGGCCACTTTCGCCGCAGCATCGCCCTCGACCCCCTCCTTTTTGACGACGCTGCCAGCCCACCGTCTATCCGACCCGTCGAGCGCTCCGTCCGTCCGGCCCTCTCGGCCCCGCGCCCGCCGAGCCGCAACGTGGCGCCGCTGGCAGAGCCGTCCTCCGTACCCCGCACGCCCGTCCAGTACTGGCTTGCGGCTCTGCACGACGAACGCGTCCCCTCGACGCCGCTGCCGCCGGACTACTGGTCCGCGTGGGCTGGAGAGGCGTCGCCACGCGAGAGCGTGCGCACCTACATGTGGGACGCGGCAGTCGAGCTCAACGGAGTGGCCGTCGCCTTCTTCGCCGACGCGCCGGCGGGGTCTGACTTCGGTGTGGCACCGCCGAGAGAGTGGAGGGTCGAGTATCGTGCCGCTGACGGCGTGTGGAAGGACGTGGCGGCTGAGGGGCCGTACCCAAACGAGGTGACGGATTCACCCGCTGAGGTAGGCTTCGCCACGGTCAAGACGACCATGCTTCGGGCAGTCTTTGTTGGGTCAGGCAACGGGCCTTACGCGGCGGTGGGAATCAAGGAGTGGTTCGCGTTTGCACCAGCACCTGTATAATGGCGGAAAAGATGGCATTATTAAGATACTATTGTACTTTTTTTTTTGCATGTATCCATCTATAGCACTAAGCCCTGCACATACGCCCGTTGCTGGCGATAGTCCACGCCTCGCTGCCGACACCATTTAGGGCATAGAAGAAGCCCTCGGGATCGCGTTCCTTCTTGATGCAGAGGAGGTTGTTGTAGTTGGCACCGAAGAACTCCTGCTGCCAGCGAGGCTGACGGAAGTCGGCCTCGTTCTGATACACACCGCCACCAGGGGTAAGCTTCTCAATAGCGGGGATGAGCTTGTTGGTCATGAGGTTTTGGTTGGCAATCATGTCGGCCCAAGGCGCCTGGAAGCTCCAGGGCGTCGTGATGGTTGCGTGGACTAGTGTCTTGCGCCAGGCGGGGACCACCGAGTTCTGAATCTTGGAACCGAAGGACGAGACATCGGTGCCAACGCCAATGAAGATGGCACCCTCAGTGTTACCAATCAGGCGCGTGTAGGATGTGATGTTGGTGATCGACGCACGGGGGATCAGACGGCCACCATACTGACAATGCCGACCTGGATGTT